GAAGAAGAAGAAGAAGAAGAAGAAGAAGAAGAAGAAGAAGAAGAAGATACTTTCTTACTCCAAGAGAGAAGAACCAGAGCACAGTGACAGTAAAATCAAATTAAAACCCAAATCCAACAGTTTAAAAAGGATCTCTGGTCCTCCAGGCAGGACCCAGCAGTGAACTCTGCTGTTCAGGCTGCTGTCTGCAACACACACAGCTTGTCTAGTAAGCTCAGATTAGCTCCACTGCATGGCTGCTGCTGTCCTCAGCAGGCACTCCTGGACCTGGCATTTTTAAAAACACTGGGGTCTCTGCAACCTCTTTTAAGCTCTCTTCAGAGACTCTGACCCTGCCACACGGTGACAAGCACCAACTTCTCTCCATGAAGTCTTCAGTCCTGGGGCTTTGACTGCAATTGAGGATGCACCTTCACCAATGGCTTCCTCTGACAACTCTTTAAAACTTTAGCCCTGCCACTCAGTGCCAATTCTCAGCCACTCTCCATGACCCCTTCATGCCTTCAAAACCAGAAGCACCTGTATAACTCTTACAATATCATTTTTTTTTGTTTGGTTGGTTTTATTTTGAGACAGGGTTTCTCTGTGTAACCGTGACCATGCTGGAACTTGCTCTAAGGACCAGGCTGGCCTCTCCATATGCCACCACCACCTGGCTTTACAATACCAAAATTGACTGCCAGCCGAGGTACAGCCTTGGCTGCCTCTGGACCACAGCCTCTGTATGCCAACCCCAAGAAAACACTTCCCAGGAGATTTTGCCTTACCATGCTTGTCTCTCCTCCTCCTCCTCCTTGTCTTCCTCCTCATCTTCTTCTTCCTCTTCCTCCTCTTCCTCCTCCTGCTCCTCCTTTTTTCTCCTCCACCTTCCTCCTCCCCTCCTCCCTCATCCTTCTTTTTGAGACAGGGTCGCTGTGGAGCCCTCAAGTCCTGGAACTTACTCTGTAGGTAGGCTGGCCTCAAACTCACAGAGATTCACCTGGTTCTTCAGGTCCTTGGATTAAAGGTGTACACCAACACTGCCCAGTTTGCTGGTCTCTTTGTAATCAGTTAATTATCCAGCCCCAGCTGACCAGCATCCCTTGCCCCAGATTTTTGAAACAGTGTTTCTTTGTGTAGCCTTGGCTGTTCTGGAACTGCTCTGTAGTATAGGCTGGCGCTTTAGTGGTTCTTAATTCAAAATATCACATGAATGACCCTGATAAGTCTATGAGGGACTCTCAACCTTCCCTATTAAATTTTATACAGCAAGCTTCCATTGTCCAAATTTCTCTCAACACTCTTCTCTTCCAAGCTCACATAGGACAACCCACTGGGCCCTAAGCCTCATCAGTTTCTCCAAAGTTCAGATGATACCACAAGCCTCCTGAAACAAATGTTCAAGTCTGTCAGTACCTCACTTCTAGGATCCTTTCTCTCTTAATTAATGAAGGCTTTTATTGCTGTGATAAAACAGCATGACCAAAAGCAACTTGGGGAGAAAAGTTTATTTCACTTACACTTCCAGGTAACAGTCCATCCCCGAGGGAAGTCAGGGCAGGAACTCAAACAGGGCTAGAACCTGGAG